AATCGGGGCACAAGAGCCAAGTAAGGTTCTTTCTTGGCTAAAACTCTATGCAAAAGCTGTAACAAAGGCCCCCAGGTGATGCCAGGAAAAGCACAGGGGATATCAGGTATCAACCCCATTCTCGTCACCAATCACCTTTCCCTCTGATGACCCCAGCTCCTCTGGTAGGTCTGTGCCGGGACTGCCCACAAGGTCATGGTTCAAGTACAGTCTCAGAAATGGCTGTGGTCCTAAATTCAAATGCCAGGTTTACCATTTCCTGATTTTGTGACTTTGAGTAAATTATTTGGCTTCTCGGGGCCTCAATTTCCTTATCTGTAAAAGTATCAATAACCATACCTGTCTGATAGAATTGTTGTGGGGACTCAAATGAGGGGAGCAATGTGAATCATAAGACAAATAGAAAGGACTAGATAAACCCAATTCTCAGGTGCTGCGTAAAAGGTGGGAATGGAGGGTCCCACCTCAGCTAGCTCAGTTAACCTCCATGAAGGTGTTAGACTTGTGTAATTCTAAACTAGAAGATTCAAATATTAATTGTTAATAATTAACTCCCCAAGTACCAAACCCAGGTGGTGAAAATGCTTGAAAATAAGAGAGAAAGACTTAAGGCGAGTGAATGACTCAGTTCTGTCTCTTGATACCTGACCCAAAGCAAGTGGTTTGCTTTCTCTGGACCATAGTGTCCCCATGTATGACAGTTGTTTTGACTAGATCAGTGGTTTTTTAAAACCACTTTTAAGGTTTTAAGGGGGAAAAATTGTCTTTAAAAATAGAACACTTAGTCAAGCAAAACCTTAATATAAATCCCACATCTGCCAGTTGGAAGTGAAACCGTGGTTGAAGATGGGGGAGGCTTTACCTCTAAAATACTTCTAAATAGTTTGAAACTTATAGAATTAAATGGTCTCTAACGGCCCCTCAGTTTCAACAGCACCCAACACCACCTCATCATGCAGGAAGTAGTGCAGGAAGAGTAAAAACAATGTTGGCTTGTGGGGAGAGGGTATGAGGAGGCCAGGGTAAGGGCTGAGCTGGACCCAAAGTCACCTGGGGTTATACTCCCAGGGAGCCTCACCTGCAAGATGCAGGCAAGATCTTTTATCTGTCCTGATGGAGGCAGGACACAGGGCTCCTTCTCTGTACCTGGAGCCTCCTGGGAGCTACTGGGCCGGCTGGTTACTAGGAGACAGGAGTTACCCAGTTTGGGCCCAGGGTGCCCACTCACTAGGCTGGTCCATCCTTATATCTTTTAGGTTAACACATCAAACTAACAAATCAGAACAGCCCTTTACAGTTTGCCAAGTTATTTCAGATTCTATTTTTCAGGGAGTCGTTATACCAACCCAAGGAGGTATTACCGTACCCGTTTACAGAGGCGGAAACTGAGGCTCATTTCTGCTGAGGTTCAAAAGCTTCTCAGCCATAGTCAGAAGGCTGTTAAGCAGGGGGAAGGGGAAGCCAACCCAATACAAAGGAACCTCTGGGCTTTCAAGGGAGATTTTCAAAGAATGTTAACTTTTAATAATTAACTCCCCAGGTACCAAACCCACGTAGTAAAAATGCTTTGAAAGTAAAGAGGAGGACTTAAAGTGAGTGAATGACTCAGCTTGTCTATTCTTTAGAAGCCTTTGATGTACAGTTCTTCCTTTCTCTCCACCAGGCTGCACACAGTCAGAGCCCCACCCCCCAGGTGTAGTCCTTCAAGGCTGGGACACTCTGAGTGTGGCTGTAAGGAAGGGGCCCCAAGGAGCCGCATGGGCTAAGGTGTCCTTGCCTGCAGCACTGAACACTTCCCCTCTTCGGGGTACCCTGTGAGGAGCAGGGACCTTACCTGCCAGGACCTCTGTTCTCTCAAAGATGTTGCCGGCCTGGGCAGTGCTGGACATGGACACTCTGTTGGACACATCCTCGTTGCCTTCGAGGGATGGCGGAAGCCTCTTGGGGATGACCTCATTCTCCTCTAGTTCCTTGGGTTCGGTGGGGACCCGGCTCCCAGGTTCCGCCCTCTCAGGGATGTGGTTATGCAGGGGCACCTGAATGAGGGAGGACGAGAGGGGACAAAGACTCAGCACGGTTTGGGGAGCAACCCAGGGCAGGGGACAGGGACATTCGGCCAGGCAGGGAATCTGGTTCTGCCATCTTCAGAGGGGGATGGGTGAAGGTGGTCCTGGGGCAAAAATCAGCAACCTCAACAATTACACGGTCAAACCCTTCCCTGCAACCTTTCCAGCAGATCTGTCCCCAAATGAGGACAAATTATGTGACCAAGGGGGACAGGGGAGCAGGTGACCCCACTCACTGCTGCTTGGCGGCTATTCTTAGAGTAACCACTCTGGAGGGAAGTTTGGTAAAGCTGCAGAAGCTGCTTGCCATTTAAGGCAGCAATGTGCCTCTGAGACTCTGTCGGAAGGAGCTAATCAGAGATTTGTATATAAGATTTGTATGTAAGATGCTTGCCATGCCGCTATAATTTCAGAATTTTCCATTAATCAGGGAAATCAGGTGAACTATAATTATGCAGCTTAAAAAATAGGAAAAACACTTAATTATGTGGAGAAATATGACCATTTTAAGTGAAAGATGGCATACATATAACTGTGCATATAATTGATATTTATGTTGGAAAATACCTATAAAAGGACAGAAAAGGGGCTGGAAACATATCTAAGTGTTGACAGTGATTTATCCTTGCAGCGGGGATAGTGTACCAACGACCACAGTGGTGCCTGCCCGGGAAGAGGCCAGGGCCACAATTAAAAGCCTTCTTGCAGAGGGAGGTGAGACCCTCATTTATTCTGCCCCTCTCAACAGGTGTTACAGAGGGGCAGGGGAGAGGCAAAGCATGGAGCTACTTACCAAGGGTTGGATTACTTTGGGGAAAACCTCGGGGTCCTCTGAGTCATCTGTAAATTCAAAAAGGATGTATGAGTGTGAGGTCAGTTTCCCCTTGTAGCCACAGCTGGCGGGAGTCCTAACTTATCAGCAGCTTCCAAATGCTCAACGTCCAGCAAGTCATCCCTACCCCAGCCTCAGTCACCTCATCTGTAAAACAGGGCTCCTAACCCCTGCCCCCCAGGCTCTTTCCCAGGAATGGGGAGCTGGCAGCTGGGCAGGTGCTTTGTCAGCTCCAAACCTTTGCTCAGTAAAGGGTGGATTCAGCAACCGACAGCACTACCGATGAGCTGGTTAGAACTGCAGAATGCCAGGTCCCACTGAACCGGAATCTGCATTTTAACAAGATCTCCAGAGGACTCATTTAAGAAAGCAGGATTCTAGATTGCAATATTAAATATTAGAAATTACAATATCAAAACGTTTACTGAGTGCTTGGGTGGGCACAGAGCTTCAACTTGGTCCAATCACGACACTGATGTACTGTCCTGTTTCCATTTTACAGACTCGGAAACCAAGTCTCTGAGGCCAGAGGTTAGCGGTGTGAACTCAAGACTATGTGACTTCAAAGCTCGAACTTTGAATTATTTCACTGCTCTACGTGTAGGAGGGATGTTTCCTAGTAGCTCTGTCTGGCCCAGAAGCTGAGGCCAGAAAGTCTCAGAAAACCAGGTAAAGCACCAGCCCCAGGTCCAGCCCCAAGAGGCCTGGGCATCTTCACCCATCCCCCTCTGAAGCAGGGGCTTGTTCTTGGTTGGGCACCCACATCTCTGCCCCTGCAGGCCACCATGTCTTTTTCCTTTTCAAAGGAAGAAAAACCCTCTATCGGTTCTCCTCCCCACCCCACCCTACCCTTTAGCAAGGTGCTCAGAAAACCTAGTTACAAACAACTAGCCCAGGAACGGTCTCAGGGATGGAAAGGGCTGATCCATTACTATTGTTTCCTCTTATCTGAGAGGGATGGGGCACTCTAGAAAAATCTCCACAAAAATCCAAGGTGCGGTCACCCTCCTAGGAGAGGCCACAATTTCCTCCAGCCCCATGCCCCAGGCCTGTCCATCATACGCCCCCCACCATCACACCCTCCGTACCCAGATCTCCAGAGCCAGACAGCTCAAAGTCATCGGGTTCCTGATCGGGCCCCGCGACATCCTCGTCGTCTGGTAGGGCTCCGGAAAAGTATCGGCCTTCTAAGAGGTTTTGAGGGTCGATGACCTCGGTCTCTCGGATCTAGGGTGAAAAAAGCAGCCACATCAACCAATAGCCCCCTTAATGGTCTGCAACAGTCCCTGAGCCCCGAAAGGCAGTGAAATGGGTATTCGAGAAGGTAAACTAGGGTGCTAGATAGAGACCAGGCCAGAGCTTGGAGTCCCGGACCCTTCCTGGCCCCTAATTTGCTGTGTGACCTTAGGCAAATCTCTTTTCCATTCTGGGATAATAAAAATAATAAAGGCAGTAAAAATCAGAACATAAATATAGTACTAGGTTCCATTTACTAGGCACTTGCTATGTGCCAGGCCCTGTTCTCAGTAATTCTAAAGGCACGTCATCACCCCGACTGTATAAGTGAGGAAAGTGGGCATTAAAGACATGAAATCGTTTTCTTTTGATGGCACGAATAGCAGATGGAGGAGTGAGAATTCCATGTAGGGCTGCCTGACTTCAGAGCCAGCGTCCCCACCCACACAGGCCGGCCAGAGGATACGCCGTGCCAGGGTTCTGGAATGCCGTTGCTGCTGATTCACTCACAGCAGAGAGGGCTGCTGGCTCTGGTCTTGTCCCCAATGGGACACCTTTCCCAGCTGAGTCAGGCAAAGCTGGGACAGGCAGGGCTGGCTCACCCACACCAAAGGACAGCCTCAGGTCAGGGCGCTGCCCAGCCTGGTGACTCAGAGTGCACGCATAAGCACACTCTTGCGTTCAGCTTTCTAAACATCTCCCACAGATCTAGTCTGCCCCAACACCATGCAGGACACAGAGAGGCACAGTTCCTGCTGGTCACAGCAGAATCTTAGGTCCACCCCACTGAGAAGCTTTCAAAAGGAAAATACCAAAGGTCCAGGGAAGCAAAGAACCTCCCCAAGGTCCTATAGAACCTCAGCTACTCTGCCCTGTGCCCTAGAACTCAGGAGGGTAGGAAGCGTTTGGAATGTCTACCATCCTTTCTCTTAGCTCCTGGGCTGGGGTTCTGTCTGCCTCCTGAATAGCAGCCCTGGGCCAAGCTCATTATTTCACTAATTAATTCAAAATTTTAAGTGTCTACTATTGTCAGAAGTCAGGGTTTCAATTAAGTTCAATACACATCCCTCCCCAACACACTCTCAGAGCCTCTAACTGCAGGGGCTCTGCTCAGGACTACAGAACTACAAAACACCACTACTGGAGAGGTCTTGTGTCATAGGATTTGAGCCCCAAACAGGACAGTGACTTGCCCAAGTTCACACAGTGAATTAGCTACAGAAGTCACAGAGGAAAGAGGCCAGATCTCTGTTTCTGACTGCCCTAGGCTGTCTTTTACCCAGATGAAACCACCAGTGACACAGAGGGGAGCCTGAGATGGAATATCCGTTCCTAAGACAAGGTCACCATCGCAGGAGAGGCCCAGGCGCCTCCTGTACTGCCTCCACTGGCTGCTGGGGAGAGGCGGGTGGAACCTGACTATCAAGCCCTCTTCCACCCCCACGAGGGCATAGGCTGCATTCCCGGAAAGCAGCAGGGTCAGGAGGGGAGGAAGGCAGTGGGCAGGCACCTCCCGGCACAGGCACACACATTCACCGCAGGAGAGGAGACTCTGCCGACAGCCTGGCACACATGGGGGTGGGAGCCAGAAGGGGTTAAGCCCCGGGTAGGGATGACTTCATGACTCCGGAATCGGGAGCTGTTGAGCTGCTGGCATTGGAATACCAGCCCCCGCACACAGTCCCGTGCCTGTGGCTTTGGTTTGGCAGCTCAAGAATAAGGTTCCTCCGTGGTAGCAAAAGCTGCTTATACCTAGAGCAGGGTCCTTGTGCTCCTACCTGTTCTCCTGATGAAAATTTCTCTGGGGCCCGGAACCTGACAGCAGGACTGCCGTGGCTTACTAGCTAAACTAAGCACTTAGCATGAAGTAGGTCCTCCTAGTAGGTCTTTTTTTGCAGAAGTGGAAAGAGGAGGTGGAGGCTCAGAAAGGTCAAATCACTTGCCCAAGTTCACACGGGCAGAAACATGGCCGCACTGGACCAGAACCCAAGCATGGGTCACCTGAATCTTTAACCACATACATATAATATACACATGCACATAGAGTGCCCTGCCTAGCCAGGTAGAAGGAGCCCTGTTCAGTGGAGGTCAAATCAGCCCAAAAAGGAAAGACACCAGACTGGCTGTGGTGAGTCAAAGTTCAAAGTCCTCAAGATAGGGGCTGGGGTCAGATGCCCGGGACTGTTTCAGGCTAAGACCCTCCATCCCCCTTCTTGCCCCAGGAGCCATGGAATGTTGCTTCTTCGTTTGCTTTTCTTTCAGCGTGTGAAAGTGCTAAGGGGTGTTTCAAAACAACCCATGGAATCAGCACACTGATTGGTCGATGGTAACTACCTCTGTTTACACTGGTGAAATAAAGACTAAGAGGAGGCGGGTATGAAGCCAGCAGCAAAACTGTGGCTGAACAAGATTTGTTCACAAGCAGCGCCCTTTGTGGTCACCTGGTCATCCTTAACCCTTCACATTTATACCAGGTTCCTGGAGAGGATAGGCAGTAAAGGTCACACCAGGGATTAGCAGCATGGCCAAGATCAGACCTCGTGAGATGCGTATTTGGGACGTAAAAGGATGGGGGTCCCTAAAGGCCGCATTAGATGAGACTAGGTGCCCTTGTACAGCAAGTCAGGGGAACTGGGAGAAGCTCTGGGAGGTGCGCTGATGGGAAGATGCAGGAAATTAAATTCTTCAGCTCCAGAAGCTCCCTCTCTGCCTCGCTCTGGCCTGACCCCTGAGGACAGGTGAATTCCCAAATAAGCAGGAGCCCTTTAAGACAGGACCACAGTGCAGGAGGTTGTGGGTCTTCATTCCTGAGTGCGTCTGTGTGTGTGTGTGTGGGGGGGGGTGGTTGCCAACAGCCCCCTCTTCCCTCACACTCTTCAGCAAGACCCATTCAGTCTGGGGTGGCTTTGAAGAACCAGGCCACCCAGCAGCCAGGCTCATCCCTGACCAGAGAGGGACCCCACCCTGCTCCTGGCTAAGCATGTGGTCTGTTCTCCTCAGCTCACCCCACCCCTGCCCAGGGAACGTGTATGCACATGCGTGTGCATGCACAGGCACCCTCTCTGTGCCCTCGGGGTCTCCCTGTGTCTTTGTCCTTCTCGCAGATGCACAACAGAAACCACCAGGTGAATAAGGCAGAGGTTCCGGGTCCCACAGACACCGCTGGCGCCGTGAAGGTGGGCACCTGGAGTTGGTGCCTGCAGGCTTAGAGATGCTATCCGTGGAATAGGGGTAGGTGCTATTTTGCTCTAAAGGGACTAATAACACGTGCCAACAGAAGATATCTGAAGCCAGAGTCCAGCGGTCTCATTTTATAACCTAGCAAACAGATTAAAAGATGAGGGGCTTTGCCAAGGTCAACCACGCAGCTGGCAGCAGA